ATTTTTCCAGGTCGTAGATGGCGACAACAAGGCAATGTAAAACCGAAAATAGTCACAAATATCTACGATTTCGTAGCCAACTTATGCTAAAGGAGCGGAAGAGCCCGATTCTCCCATTATGGGGGTCCCGCGCTCATCGCTGGGACTCCCATAATCAGAGATTTCGAGCTCTCCCGCTCCTTTAGCATTCAAACTCGAACGGCCAGGCCGGACAACTCATCCGCCGAGCGCGGCATATTACCTCTGTCTTGCTGATTTACCAACCTAGCCAACGGTAAAGGAACAAGGATCACAGAACCTTACCATGTGTCGTCTTCTCTTCCTGTTCACTCGGTATATTACGATTATTGTCTTTTATTATATTCTGCTTGGATATAAAGCTCAACGAAGCGTTGACACTCGTTCAATACATGTGAAAATGTCCATAAATGGCAGCCAGACCTTACCAACTACGACGGTAATCTGGCTATTGACCAATGTGCAAACCCTTCTAATGAGAAGGTAATGTAATAACTAACAGATCTGAAGGTGGTATCTAAAAGAGCAACAAAAGGAAAACGAACAACAACATTATCGAAGGGTTCATATTGGGGATTTTCGAAGAAGAACAATTCAATTGTGCGCATACTTCCCCTCAACTTGATGACAAATCATAACTAAATTTCTCGAGAAGTATGAATACAATTGTCTTATAGGGACTTGGGAAAACCGGACCATGGATCAATGACAAGAAAACTGCAGTATAACAAGGAGATCACGCAGATATGCAACACCGACGACGCATAGCACAGTACATGTTCATGACAGCGAACCTTTTGATCATACTAGGCCTTCGAGGACCGGTCAGGCAGCGTTCAGACTTTACGGCAGCGCTTTGGTCGCGCGTTCGACGCGATCGATGCAGTTATAAGCATGCATCGATTGCCGAACGCACTGCCGTCGCGAAGTCTAAACACTGCCTTACGGATGGGCGCCGCGCGCCTTTATAAAATGATCCGCTGATCGCCGAGTATGACCAAGAAATGATGCAGAAATTCATCTAGAAAACAAAAGTAATGTTCGCGTCGCCTATGCTCGACAGGACTACGTGACCTGATCAGCCCTTCAAAAAAAACAAAACAGGTATACCATCACGTCATAAAAAACCACTGAAAAACCAAAATTAAAACGCGGCTTGTACTGATGACGAATTGAAACTGACTAAAAACAACGCGCCACACATATGATACAGCATGAAAACACAAAAAATAGATAATCTGTATTCAATAATTCTGGAAAAAACACACGTGAAAAATAAATAGGAGACCAGATCAGAGATATGAACGAGCATGTGGCATCATTGAGATCGCACTGGTGAATAGCGAGACTCAATTGCATGCCACAGCGAGTCCATTGGGTGGACGACTGAACAATGGGACTTGATCAAAGGGTACTGGGTTTGTGGGAATATAAGAGCGAAGACTTGGCAAAGCAGCAAGAAACACGTATTAGTATGATCTAGCGATTTCTAAGGCAAAGTACAAATGAAGAGAAATCTAACACAATTATCGTAGTACAATCTTTCATCGACGTAGTTGTTGACCGTTAGTCCTCAGAATCGATGAGAAGCGCAAATTTGTTGTTATTTAGCGTCTTCCCTCCTTTTGTCACTTCTCGCTGAAACAATATTTCGTAAAAAATAACCGTGCTATTAACGTCTAATCTACAATCCCAATAAAAATATTTGAGGCACCATTCAATTATTAGAACCTCAGAAATAAAATATCTTCGATCAAACTTCGCCCATAAAGGTAATTCAATTTGCTGATCACGACTATGACATTCCCCTTTGGCGTTGGCGCCACTAGGCGCCAATCAGGCGCCACCACTTTCCTCATAAACATCGGTGTAAACCTGCACACTGTGAACCCTTATCACGAACATGACATTCATTTTTAACACTGGGTCATTAGGCGCCGATCAGGCGGCACACCCTTTTCATCAAAATCGGTAAAAACTTGCATAATGGGGTTGTTTGATGCCCTGATCACGAATATGGCATTTATTTTTCGACACCAACGCCATTTAGCGCTCTTAAGGCTGAGCCTGAGGGGAATGCTTCCCTTGAGGTCAGACAGCCTTAGCAGGCGCATATGACCGTAGTGTCTTCCGTTGAAGTCAGCACAAAAAAATGAATGTCATACTTGTGATGAGAATGTCAAATAATCCCCTGTACAAGTTTTCAGCGGATTTGGTGGTCTAAGGGGAGCCTTGGCAGGCGCGGAAGAGACAGTTTCATTTCGAGCGGATGTGACATTCATGTTCAGGAGGTCAACTACCCCTGTGGAAAAGATTCGGATTCTTGGCGCCGGCACCAGGCGGTTTCACTTCGAGTATGTGATATTCATGTTCAGAAGATCGAACTATGTATAACTGAGTTTTCAGCTAAATCTAGAGAAAATTCGGTCAAAGCTGGCCCGTTTTCGGAAGATTGCGGTAGATTGTGGTATAGTAACAGTCGAATTCTAATCGATTCGATTTCGGTCGATTCTAACTATAAGGTAATTAAGAGGGAAGACCGAGTTAAACCGAGCCACATCCATTCTCTACTGACTTGTTCTCTCGACAGCGTCGAGAAGACTAGCCGGAAAATCCCTCGCTAAGAGAGTGCAGAATAGCTAGGAACGGGAGCGAGGCCGCAATCATACTTTGCGTTATTGTTTGGCAGCGTTCGGGCGTTTCGAATGTACACCATCACTAGCGACTAGGAAAGTATGGGTATCGATCCGTACGGCAGCCCTGTTTTTCTCAAGCTAAAACTACCCGTGAAAATGCTTGCTTACGCTGGCGTACGCTAGATCAAAAATTATACTTCCCTAGAAGCTGGCGCTGGCTTACGCTAACGCAGTGTATGAACGCAGCCTGACTTTCCCTGCGACCCCTCTCCCCCTCTCCGCCCTTCAACTATCTTAGCGGTAACTCTCGCGATGAGCAAATGCACACCCATCTAACACAAACTAAACCCGAATCTCTAATCGAAGAACGAAAGAAGCCTCCTATTTTTCTAGTCCGCCCGCGTTTCCCACCAAACGAGCCCCCTATGGGCATTCGCTTACTCCAACTTTAAGCTACACAAGTAACTTAAGTGAAATCCCTCGCCCCTTCTGCTTGGGCACTTACACCGATCGTATGATCGTATAATTTGTTGCTGCGCGCGCTGCACTTGAGTCATACGGGTCTGTGTATAACTCCGAACCCGGCTTTCAAATTGTGTTTTTTCCCAATCCCGTCAGTGCTTTTATGCGTGAACAGCGCCTTGTACCTAACATGATTCCGCATTTTTCAACATTCCAATAAACAAAGAGCTGCTAAACTACTCCCCCCCCCATTCACAGTAGGTTTCCAATACCACCTGTTCACAGACTGTGACTTGGCACCGTTCTACTTTTAATCAGCTACTGTACTTTAATCGTTTGTACCCCAGCCTTTCAAGGCTGAGAACACTAGAGAGGGGTAAAGCGGCTGCGTAACCAGTTATGTACTGACCAGTCAGTCGGCCGGCTTCGCATGCCGATCCTCCTTCCGCGTGTGAAAAGGGTCCCGGTGAGCAGAACTGAGAATTACCGCACTTTACCTTTTCACTTACCCGTACCGTACATCCCCCCTAGAAGACAGTCATCAAAATTTTCTATGCGGCACTCCCCTTAGTGATGAGGAATCGCAGAATAAACTATTGCCGACGGCACCAACCATTTGGTATACTCCCTACGGTTATCCCTCACTAACTTCATCTGCCAAACCATTGCTCAGTTTCACTTACTCCCCATTTCCTGGAGTTTTCGGATGTGTTTTGAGGGTTTTTGTCCCCGGCACCGTTCACTTCGGCGAACGCCCTGCCATCGCTCGGCGTCGGGCCTGGTGATTTATACATTCCGTCCGCCAACTGTTTGCCTGTCGTTATCCCACAAATTTTTGCCCCGCTTTTTTCTTTCCGCCAGGATCTTTCTAAACCCCCGGATTACGAATTTTTGAAGAATTCTTGTAGCTGAGCGCCGCGCCACCTATAGCCACGCCCCGGCCAATCGTACGGGTTGTGACTCCCTTCATTCATCCGCCAACTGACAGCTTAGTTTCCTACCACAATTTCCGCTACTCCGGCGAATCTCTGCTGAACGAATTACTGCAATTTTTGAAATACGTAGCTCACAACTGTGCGCACGCCCCGCCCACAGTGGGCGGGGCCTTAGCTCAGTTCAGTGGGCGGGGCTTAGCTCAGTTCATGTGTGTTCCGTACATCTTGGCCCATGCCCTACCCAACCCACCCTTGACCCGCCCCCTCCAACTGGCTCTTCAGGTGATTCCGAATTTCCGGACAGACAGACAAACAGACAAACGACAGACGTTGCCGTTTATATATAGTAGGATTTTATTTGAGCGCCAACCTTCCGTGGATCACAGACAGGAGGTGCACCCACAAGAATGTCACACTCGTATGCCTACAAATAATTACGCTGACGTAGGGAATGCTGACGTAAAAGGGGACAACCGTGAAGAAAGCGAGGTCCGGTGGGGCAAAGGACAGCGGCGTCTGCGCATCTATGTCTGCCCTTTAAGACCACGCTTCAAGTTCAATTGTCTGCGCTTCGCTAAGCCCTGGAGAGGGTAAGGTGCCCTACGTAACTACTCATTTATACTCTAGTTCGCTGCAGGACGGTTGGGCGTGTCAGGCAGTATGAGTGTGTCACGCCGTCAAACCGTTCTCTGCCTTCTTGTTGAAGCGCGCATGCGACAAAAAGTGGTAGAAAACGAGTAATACGAACGATATGATACAGTCATATCACTTGCTCGCTTTAACAACTGGTGGAGAACGGGTTTGGCACCGCGCCAAACTCATCCTGCCTGACACGCTAAACCGTCCGCAGCCAACTACACTACATATTCGCAATACACGTATGACCCCAACAAAAGCCACAGAAATTAACATCAAGCTCGAGAAAAAGAGATGAAAAAATATTGTCGCTTCAAGAGCATTGCTTAGCAACAACTTCGTGATGATTACAGAAATGAGACAGTACCTTGTTCGTTTTCTTCTTTTCCTTCTTTTTATCTTGTACTGAAGTTGATGACGAAGTTGCTGCAGCTGGTGCAGCAGTGGAGGGAGGGGACTTCGCAACTTCTTTCTTAGGAGGCGCAACCGTGCCTTTCTCTTCTACCCTATTTTGTCGATCTGAGGGCTCCTCGGAGGGTTTAGACTGCTGAAAGGATAACAATTGAGAACATAAAATCACAATCAGCCAAGGCGAAGCAAGGGGTACCCGATGCTGTCACAGTTTGTGGTAGCAATAGTTATGATGACGTTATCGTTCAACGATAATGGGAGACGGGCAAGAGAACGTAATTTGTCGCTTCGCCATGCGCGGCGATGGGCACGGCGTTAACTCATGTTAACTTGTCGATTGGAGCACCGGACTTCATGTAGACCCTGTCATCGTAGACATTCATGACTATTTTCGGTTCTGAATTGCTGTGATTGACGAGGTAGTAGATGGTGACTGTTGTCAGGCGCGACGTCACACGCGACGCCCATCAGTGCGGCGAATTACGATTCTCTTGTCACATACCCAACGAGAGTAACCGCTTACGTGTTAGGGCATGCCACATGGCAAGACCTTGCGCAGAGGTGTATTAGATCTTGTTGTGTAAGGTGTTATGACATGTCGAGGACAAGGACTTGGGTTTCCTATACCCACTGCCACCACAAAATGCTGC